CTCTTCAATCTTTCATGAGCTTCCTTGTAGCCAAAAGGAGGGGGAATAAGAATGATGGACTTTGAACTTGGATACGTTCTTTTTCATAGATTCACAGACTAATTCAGGCTGGAAGGGATCTCCAGAGGCTTTTAGTCAAATGTTCTTCCCAAAGCAGGGTCAGACTTAGGATCAGACCAAGTTGCTTGGTGTTTATCCAGTCAGATCTTGAAAAGCTCCAAGGATGAAGACTGCAAGACCTCTCCAATTCTTAATTTAGAGATCTGCTTCTACTCCACTTACTAACAGCAGAAAGAAACATTGATGGAAGCAGTAATTAAAACTGCAGATAATTGTACCTGAGTCATTCATTGTGAGACTTTCCAGTGAGTTCAGGGCACTCTGCGATATGCAGTGAACATGAGTCAAGCCACACTCATGATTTTCCTCCATGCAGAGGGAATATCTTCAAGCATTGGATACCCACTCAGCCTAGATATTATAGAAGATATAAATAGATTATTGATCGTTCTTTCCTACTTGGAAATTATATGCAACACCTTCTTACTGTACTTTCATCCTTCAGGCAGCTTTAGTCTGACATTTGTAGCTAAGGCAATTGAAGAAAACTAGAAATGGTTTCACAGGAAATACCAAGTAGTAATTCAAACTGTGAATTTCCTTTTTTTTTTCTCATTTGTCCACACCTCTGAGTTTCTTGGGCCAGCTGTTATATTAGTTATGCCTGGTTCCATCACTGAGCAAAGATTTTAAAGGTTTCTCTACTCCCATTTCTATGATGCTCTGATTTTTCTGTGTATAAAAAGAGTTGGAGTAGCACTGGTACAGACCGAAAATGCTGTGTTTATGAAATCAGCATCAAGGGCACTGCCACAGCTCTGCTGGTCACTGTTTGGTGAATGGTTAGAGGGCAACCCAGGGCTCTTCTGAATCCAAACTGTGAGTGAGTTTCGTCCTTGCAAAAGTCCTTCAATTTCTCTTATAAGCTGGTTCAAGACACTTGGATTGTGAAATGAGTGTTTCGATTCATTCTCTTAGCTAGTGATATGCATAACAGGAAAACCCTGAAGTTAAGGTGGTGAATTTCACACCCTGTTGTTTGAACATGGTTGCTAAGAGGAAAAATATTTTTGGAAAAATTGATGTGTAGTCAAAACAGAACTTCATCTAATTAACATGTTTGAATTCAAACTGCTTAACTAAAGAGTTTTTCTCTTTTAAATCCACCTTCCTACGTAACAGTGTTTTTACTATTTAAATTAATTTAACTAGAATATTTATTTAAAGGAACTAGCTGTCTTTTGTATAATAGATACTGGAAGCCCTCCAATCTGAATATATTGAGTAACTTTAATTGCAACGCTCTTAGACCTGCCAAGTCTTCCCATTGACTGTGTTGAAACCTCTCTGCTCTGTACCCAGCAGGCAGCAGTCAGTGCATGGGCAGAGCAGTGGTCTCACTCCTCTGCAGTCCATGGAGCTTCCAAGAAACTTCCTCTGGAGAGGAGAGCTTTTAGTGCCATGCTGTAAACTGGGGATCACCACATAACAGAGTGCTGCTGGAAGGCGCTCTTCATGGTGACCTTCCACTTTACTTTCTCACCTGCCACATGAATCTGTGCATCATGTGCATCTCCAGGTACATCATCCCAAAACAGCAGCGTCTTACTTAAACTCGTTCACCTTCTGGCTTAAGTTATGCTATGACTTTCACTTGCTGTAAAAGCAGTTTAAAATAGCCTATTTTGAGATTTGAGGCATGTTTATGAGTCTATCAAGTTGCCTCAGGGACTGGGCTGCTCTGTGCAAGGCGATACACCCTGTTGTACCTGCCCCCAGCTACAGTCCTGCCTCTGACAAAATGAGCAAAGTCGCTGAGCCCACAGTGGGGAAGATTCCTTAGGTAGGAAAGGCTTTACAGTCAGTGTGCATCTGTATCAAGTATCAGCCACTGCCTGAATTTGTCACAGAAAGATAAGCACAGATCTAATTTTACCACTCAGCTTTCTGAACATTACAGATGCAACTGCATGAAGAATATATTTGATGATATATAGGGTTGTGAAGTGAATTTGGTGGTTAAGTCTTTTCTGGTGGCAATAAAAATGTATAGTTTATTTAATGGTGCAATACCATAGCAGATATTCAGATTGTTTAAAGTCATCTTAGAAGAAAAGGTAGAAAAGGCACAGTCTTGTAATGAGAAATCCCTGGGTGCTGCATTGTTATAGATGGCAGTAACTCATAAAACTGAATTTTTCCCCTTGATCAGTTTTATTTGCAGTGAAGTACTAATGATTTTACCATTCCAATTCTTAATTTCTATTTTCTTACACTGAGGAAAACAGTTTGGAGTGATGTTGAATATATCACTGATTTTAAGAAGCCGCAGAAAGGCTATAATGTATGTAGGTGTGACTCTCATCTTTTTACCCAAATGAGAAGTGCAGGGTCAGATTATGCAATTCAACAGTCAAAACTATGACGTGCTTATTTCCATTGAAAGTCATTGCTATATTTTCAAGTCATGGATCAACCACAAAGACTTTTCAAACCTAAATCAAAATTCCAACTCTTATCAAAAAACAATTATCAAAAACAAGAGATCTTTTTGTTACTAACAAATATATGTGATACCAGCTGAACAGTAGCTTTTCCAAAAATCCTCTCATCTAGAGGTTAGATATAACATTACATAAAAAAATTTATAGAATTTCCTATGATAATTCAAAGAGAAGTTTTATAATATAAGCAAAGATATCTAATCCTACAGTTTGCCTGTAACTCACAACTTCATCCATATGAAGTCAGGGGAAGGAGAATTTTTGATATGGTAAATCACATGACAAGTGACTACAGAGGAGAGGAGACAAGCCAATGTTTGGAGTTTCATGGATGACATGAGCTCTAGGAGAGATTCTGCTTAGGTTATAGATAGAACTGGAACTGCTGCTGAATCAGGCAATTACAGATAGCCTGTAAGTTGTGCAGAAGAAATACAGTATTTCACACTGAAATATTGGTATAATTTTAAATTTCCATTCCAGATGGCAATTCATAGTGAGATATTTTTCTTTACACATCCACATCTTGCATTATTTCCAAACATGCAGGGAATGATTCAAAGTAATTTCTTATTTATTCTACGTTTCCCCAGCTGCTGCTGCAGAAATTGTAAAAACAATCTTTTTTTGTTTTTACACTTAAATGTACTTTATTATTTCATACGATGCTCAGGAAAGGCCAGAATGTGTAGAATTCAGAATACTAAGCTGTAAACTTCCTTCTTTTGTTCATTAAAGGTGTTGCATTTGAGTGATGACTGAACTCCATCATGCCAGCAATATACATATTATAATTGCTATTGCTATCTTATTCCTGTATGATGTTTCCCTTAGCAGTCATTCTCTAACCTAAAAAAAAAAAAAAAAAGGCTTTCTGGCATAATTCATTTTCCTTGTGCAACATTTCACTCTTTTTCCTTATTTGATTTATGGTCACACCAGCCTATTTCATTCAGGATAGAATTTTGTAAGAATCATTTAAATTGGAATAATCAAGTCATCTCTTGGCTAAAAAAAATTACAGAGGTGGAAGTTCTTTGGAGTTCATTTGCAGTCTCATTCGACAGCATCTTCTCTTTTAAGAGCAGTGGAAAATTCAGCCCAAGGGGCAAATGTTTTCCTCCAGATGCAATGATGCTTCTCCCACTCTGGCAATGCCACACAAAGAACATGGCTTCAAAATGACATGAAGCACAAGTTATTGGTGAAAAGGCAGTGCCACACAACATTGCCATGTCACGCTCACCGAGACACAGGGTAAACCAAACCAGGGACCAATCCAGGCTGGCAAAGGGAAGAGATGAGTTTCCCCCTGAACAGGTCTGCACCATGAGCAATGACACTGGACCGAGAAATAGAGTGGGAATGCCCAACAATGGCAGGTAAAGCTGTGTCCATCTCTCCTGACAGCAGCCTGAATGTAGGTCAATGTCACAGACCACTGGTATCTCATCTTCAGGAATCACAACCCAAAAGGCCGTTGATGATTCCCCTCATATTCCAGAAGGCTCTTATCTCAATTCTTAAGGGTCTCAATCCCAATCAAAGGGTATCCAACAGAAAGCTCCAACTCACTGCTCTCCAGAGACTCCTACCTCTCCAACCTCCAGAAAAGAACTACCCCCACTCCCTGAAGGGAGTGCCCTGCCTTTAAACCGCCCATGGGTCACGTGGTTTCCAGCTGACCAACATGACTCACAGCACCTGTCTTGATGAGGCACAGGTGCTTTCTATTCAGCCCATGTAGCAGCCAGAAAACTTCCCGGACAGGTCAATGTAAAATGAACCTGAAAGTGCAGCTGTCTCAGGTGATGTTGTTCCCTTGTGCTAAGAACAGCAGAGTTGAGCTGATGCTTTAGCACATCATAATTTCCGACCTCCCTTAGCCTCACTCCTTTCCCCAGCATGCTCCCTGCCATTACAGACAGCCAAGTGGGGATTCGGGGGCTAAAAGGAGAGCTGCTAAGCTTGCCCGGTTAGCGTAAGATAGATAGCAGGCCTCTAAATATGTGAGTGGTCATGCAAATTAGTGGGATCTGGCAGAAAGGGTAGATCACCAATGTTTCCAATTAAATGATTTCTTGGGTCTGTCAAATGTGGAGTCCCTGAGGCAGTCAGGCACCTCCTAGATGCGAATCTTCTGGCTCATTGTTCTCGCTGCTATAAAGTACATAATCTTAAAAACCAAATCCATGCCAATGCTAGCCATATGAAAACAAACCCACATGAAATGGAAACCTAGAGAGTCTTTTTAGTACACATTTTCTCAAGGCAGTAAAAAAATGTAGATAAAAATCATTTGCTTTTGCGTATGATATGGTTTTCCTTGGTTTCGTAATGATTTAAGTGGCTTGGCCGTCATATCCAGATGGGGAAAACAGGTTGCAGGTTTTCTTTCATTATGAAATGTAATGCATTCCTTTCCTTATTTTACAGGGACATCAAACCTGACAACATACTACTGGATGAGCATGGTAAGTGAATATTGACTGCTTTCTCTCAGATATCTCTAATTCTTGAAATCTCTGTGACATGCTCATGACATATGTTGTGAATCAGCTTCAGATCTTGGATTCCTACCTAAATCTGGACTTTCTCTGCTAAGTCCCTTTGTCTACCTTGTGGATTTTGTAATTTTTGCCTCCTATTGCAAAAACCATATGCTGATCTGACACTTGCAATACCTGAAGAAGAAATTTAATACAAATTGACATCACCAGGGACAGCTGATAAAAAGAAGTTAATAGTTTATTAACAGGATTACTGTGAATCACCATAATCCCTTCTGAGGATTCTACTGGACCTACCAATAGAACAGTACCAAGCACTTATTTTCTCTTCTAGAACTTCTGAAGGGCTAAGGAATTTCATATAGCAAGTTATTCCTCATGTAGGTATCTGAAATTACTTTCCTAAATTTAGATATGGAATTTGAAAATTTGCCTCTTAATGTGCAAAATTTTTATGGCTCTACATGTAATTCTGGTTTAAATCACACACACAAAAAAAAGACTAGACAACATAATTAGCTTTGAACTTTCAGTACTAATTCCATGATCTCAAACTGAAAAGGTGTGGTGAGAAAAAAGAAAAAAAAAAGCTAGTTTCTTTAAACTTAAATTTTACCCATACATACTGTCTATGAAGTATTTTGCTAAAACTTCATGCATCTTTTTGCAACTATTCATAGGAAGAACATGAGAAAATGCAGGTAAAAGAAGGCATCAATCTTATATCAGAACATAAATATGTGCAGGAGGAAAACTAAATGGAAAAAGGAAGTTTGCTGCTGTGGGAAAGTCATCTCGTGCTTTGCTCACCTCAGAAAATGATTAAAAACAATTAATCTTCGAGAAAATATAAGCTCAAAATTATGAAAAATTTGCCATTATCTTTTAAAATCCATTGCAGAACTGCTGAGTATTCAAGTTATAGTTGATTTAAGAGATATCATTGCAAACAGCTGGAGTTTGCCCCTGGAAATATTGAAACCAACAAAGTTAAATAATGTTGGAGTTTTAAACCACCCAGAACTTCAGGAATTTAATATTTCAGACCCATAAGTGTTAATGTTCCCTAGGCACTAATATCAGCAAATAAGCATGAAATAATGGGGATTAGGGACGGTTGGACTCGATGATCTCTAAGGTCTTTTCCAACCTAGAAATCTATTAAATCTATGAAATTTATGAAATGGAAATCTCTTGTCTTTAAGTCCTGGGTGAATTAAAGGTGTCAAAGGCAATGTGAAATGTCTATGAGTGTGTTAAATCTCTGATTGACAGCCTTTGAAGTACAGTTGCCCTTATCTCTCCTTGCCCCTTATCAAGGTCAACTACTACACAAAAACAGCCTCTTGCAAGAGCTTTCCTGTGAGGGCTCAAGTATTGCAGAGAAGAAGCTACACCAGAGTAAGAGATGTGCTGCAAAATGGAGTGGTTTTTTGTGATTGTAAGCTGTTCAGTAACTAAGCTATCTGTAACCAGGTTGGAAATTTTGGAATGGACAGCCTCTTTTCTGCAAAGCAGCAGAATACTGCTCCCTCATAGCACGCCTGCAGACAAGTGGTGAAACAAGCATGCTTCTCCAGACTTGCAGATAGACCTTGGTCAGCAGAATTAATCAGCTCATGGATCCTTGGTTCACAGACCTCTTATGTGGTTGGGAGATGCATTTCTCTCAATCCAGATAAGGATCTTCAGTTCAACTCAATTACAATCAGTAGGACAGGTGTGAAAGAAATAAGCATGGTTTAGATCACCTGATCTATTTTGGATGTCTGCCCTATACACCAGTATCTGTTTCTCTTGTGTGACTAATACCTAGAAATTTTGAGTAAAGATAGAGGTATCCACCTTATAGATGTACATTTTGCACGGTGAATGCTATCCTTGAAATCCATAAAGCTTTCACTAAGCTGCAACATAGTAATACAATTTTTATGGAATCATCAGATTTCACTTAACAGAGAAGTGTGCTGAATACACGCACCATAAATATGCTAGACTGTAGAGGAAGCATAACAAATTCAGCTAAAATGAGTCTAACCAGGCACACAGGAAGGAGCTCTGTTTTAGCCTGTGGCCTCTAAGATGGCACAACAGTTCCTATATGCTTGACTTTACCCCTAGGTCTTTCTTACAGTTCATTAAACAAACTGTGCTTTCACAAAGTATTATGGAATTGGATATGCACAACATTTAGGACTGAGAGTTTGTCTCAGTGAGTCAGATTTCTTTGACCTCACTGAAGAAACCTATTTTGGCAGAAGGCAAAGTGTAGTGTTACACCATTGACATCGCTTTACCTCTTCATGCAGTTAAACTGGCTGATTTTCATAACATATACCAAGATTATAGATTATAGATATTTCTGCTCATTAAAACTGGTTTCACTACAATTTATCCGTGTGGCTTAGGGAATATAGCTCAGGAATACAGAAATAGTGAAAAAAAAAAAAAGATTTTTCTTAACCCATAAAAACGATCAATCTAATTTACAAAGAAAAAAACCACAAAAACATATGCAATATATTAAAAATCATTCTGGCAGAGGAAGCCTGAATTTTCCCATATACTTTTGAGCAAAGCCACATCTCAACACCGCTAAGCACAGTTTCTGATGCATCAGTGGAAATAAATGTTTGCTGATCACAAGAAGTATAATGCTACATGAGAGTGGAGTAGTCAGCTGCTTAAAACAGTGTTCAGCCCCTAGCAGATGATTGCCTGGCTTCCTGGAGAGGTTTTCCATCCCATAGACGAGACTCCTCTGAGGAGAGAAAGCAGGGATGGTTTCAGGGTTCACTCTCTGAGCTGGAATCAGACCTCTCTGAGGAGATGAATGTTGTCCATAAAGCTCTTTTATTATGTTTCCCTCTCAGCTTCCCAGAAAGCTCTTCCTCTTATGACTAACACTATCTCTAAATTTAATAGTAATGCTCTGTTCTGCTAACATGCATCTGAAACAGAATTATTCCAGTGATGGCTGAAGGGACTACCTGATGGTTCAGGAGAGCTATTATTGTATTTTACAGAGAAAAGCATTATAGAATTCTTTTAATAACAGCATTCTGCTTCCCCTACCGTTCCTTTCATTTTAATGGTTTAGAACAATATAACTGAAATGACAGCATTTAGAACTGCAAGCTGGTGAGTCTGGTCCATGTTGTATTTTCTTCTGAAATACCAAAGAAATTAAAGATGTCCTTAAATCTTTCCATGATCTATTCGCTATGATGTCTAAGGACATGTGGAATGCCTAAAATGCAGAAAACCAAGCAGTGGCACACAGATTAGTACATTGCCTTTTTTTCAGAGATTATTATTTCTATAGCTATTTGGTAGCACCATTGATATTAACGTTTCTGGTCGTTCTACAGAAATTATGAAGCTCTACTTTGGCATCCAGTTTTTACATTGTGCAGAGTGACCACACCATTATTACACTCTTTACAGGAAATTTGCAAAGGTTTGATTTCTTCTCAGGGAGGTTTTTCAGGGCATTGTTTCATAAGACCCAGCAAGGTCCTCACTTGGTTCACCGAGGAAGAACTCCCTGCTGGGTCAGACCCAAGATCTCAACCAGTATTCTATCGCAACAAGCGGCAAAAGGAGATACTATTCATGGAGCCTGCCCTTTGCCACTTGGTCATTGAATGCTTCAGTGCTTCCTATCACCCACAATTTTTGTGCTGGGATATTAGAGTATCTCTGTATATTCCCTTTAGAATCTGGATGAATCTTTGTTAATGAGTTTGTCTACTGCCTCTTTGAAGCTGCTGATGCTGCTATTGGCCTCTACAACCTCCTGGAGCAACAAGTTGTAGAAACTCACCATCTTTCATGAAAGAACAGTGTTTTCTTTTATATATTTTAAAATATTCTTCTTTCAAAATCATCTTTTACTTCTAAAATTTCAGGATTTGATGAATAACAGCTTACAATCACAACCTTCACGGTATTCAAAAACTCCTTCAGCACTCTCCTGTCAGCTGAAGAGCCTCAGCCTTTTTAATTTCTCCTTATAAGGCACTGCTCTGGTCCCTTTGCCCTTCTCTCTTCCATAGGTAGTGTTACAGATATGCAGGCTTTCAGTTTCAGAGCAGAAGAGCAACCAGATTGGATCAAAGACCCGTCCAGTTAAACTTCTTATGTCCAAAAAATGAGTGACAGAACAAGATATAAAACAAGACACATTTTTGTGGTACTTCCCCCACGTGCTCACCCAACCTCCATCCTTTTGTGACTGAGGCATTTTCTGAGCTGAATAGAGTTTCCACACATTTAGTAAGTTTCAGTGGTCTTTTCCATGGCCTTTTCTGGTGCTTCCTTAAGTGGAGGGAACTTTTAGCATCCTTAACATCTTGTGGCAAAGTGACCTTTAGCTTAAACACAGATGATGTGAAAGCTCATTACCTGTTTGTTGGTTTTGAAGGTGCTACCTGCTGATTGCACAGACTGCCTCCTACTTCTAGTCTTGGAACTGTTTCCTGGTGATTCTCCATATTGAAATCACAGACCTAATACTTCACTCTTAGACTTAACAGGCCTAATCATATTTCATTAGGTTTTGGGGTGGTTTTAGACCAGATTTTTGCATCTGTTAGTGATAATTTCACTCAGTAATAATTTCTCTTCTGAGACAGCAAGGCAGATTTAAGCTGTTGTTCATATGTACTTTATTATATGTGATCATATTGTTTTATGATCATCAAAGTTTTCCTTAAAACTATTTGTGTGATTACATGAGAATCTCAGCCCTCATTTGAAAACTAACAGCAAAACTGAAAGATGCAGCCAATGAACAGTCTTGGTCTTAAAACCAAAAATAGGGTGAAAAAATCCATCCATAAATTCAATATTCTTAACCTCTATATTAACTTCTGAACATTAGAACTGACAACATTACTACTGTATGGTGACATCTGGGAGACATAAAGTCTCCACTAAAGATGTGCCTGGTGTGTTTGCACTAGGGTTGGTCCTTATCATACCCACAGACAATTTTCAGCGACTGTACCTCATTTAACCTTCCAACGTTGATTAACAAGATGAGTGTTCTCAGAACAATTCATCTACCTGAAGCGATATACACTTTGAAAATATAATTGAAACTTTTGCATGCCTCCGTGGCCATTAAACAGCCTACCCTTTTGAAATACACACCCTTGCTGAACCCATCTAACGCAGTACAATCAGGTTTCTAACCATCTCCCTGATGACAAGTGACAGACTGCCAAGTCATGCTAAGTTCACGTGGATATGAGCTTACACTCTTGTATGTAGTACAGATGAGCCCAGGGAGAGGCTTTTTCAATTGTTCATAGGGCTTGACCTTCTGAGAGCAAACCAGATCTGAATTTGCTCCAAAATGTTACTGTGTTGAGATTTCCCATCAGCTCCGATGCGTGCTGAGTCAGTGGCATTAACCCCAGTCTGGTATTTCTTCTCTCTGCCATCACATTCACCCCTTTGGTTTCAGACTGAGAAATTCAACGAGGTTTGAAGTCATGTACATTTTCCTCTGCTAAATCTTAGTCAGCCAGCCTCAGCCACATTTCAGGACTTGTTTTAATTGTCATAATGATTTGTTCAAAAATTAAATAATAGTCTAAACAAAGATCATTTGCTGTTTACCTCAGATACTGGGATTTCATGTGGACCATGTGGAGAAGTGAGGCATAAAAGCCACATAGCACTCCTGAAGCAAGTGCATAAAGCTTCTCAAAGTGATACACTGTGCTGTAGGTATTAACTTACAAATTTTCCCTGTCAAAGCCTAACTGAAAACTGACTGAAAGAATGCAATTTTTGAAACAATTTCCAGAGTTACCTTCTGCTTGCAATGTACGTGTTGTCGTACATGAAATCCATGCAGTCTGAAATGATTTGAAAGAGCCACTCTGCAGAGAGCCAGGGGAATGTGGGTGGTCCTTGGCCTTTTCTTCCCTTCTCTCCACCATCATCTTATTATCATACGGGATCATGAATCCATGGGGATTAAGCAATGAGATCATTCCATGTGATACTTGAATTTAGTCAGAGACTGCTGAATCTGTTGTGCACTGCTCTGCTTCACAGCTCTTAAAATCTAAACCCAAGTGACACTGGCATATTCTTTAGTTCAATATTGTACCCGATACCTGAGAAGGGAGCCAGGGTACAGTCTAGGTTTTGACATTTAATTGGTCACCATAATATCCAGAAAGGGAGCTCAAGTACAAAACTGGAAAGAGTCCCCATGAATTGAATTTTTGGAAGCAGTATTAAGTAGCTAGTGTCCTAGTGTATTTATTGCAGCAATAGCAACCTTTCCTTTTCCTATATGCAACAGCTTCAGTAAAAAGATATCTTAGAGGCTGATTAGAAAGACTCCTGTAGAGAATTTGGGTTTAAATGTCTCTTGAAATATTCACACTAGGAATGAAAACCTTAAAAAAAAAGTAACAAACAAAACAAGTCACTAGGCTTAAAAGAGTCAAGAGCGTTAAGTGGCATGTGTGGGCAGGCAGAGCTCTGCCTCGACATCCCTCCAGCCCTCCTCCACTGCCGACAGGCACAGGGGTCCGCTGCCCACTGCCCCTGCTGTGACTCCATCTCAGACTCCTCTCTCCATGCCCCTAGCTCCCACCCAGCGCTGTGTGCAGCCCTCATGGCCATCTGCCTGCCTGTGGCACACCTTGCTTTCCCTCCATAGCCAAATAACAGCCCTCTAAGCAAGAGGCAAAGGCTGCTTGTGGGCAGCCCATGGGCCATGGGATGGCCCTGTGGTGGGGAAGAGCAAAAGGTGAAGTGTTTTAAGGGCTACAGACACGGCTCTGCTGTGGCCTCCTGCCTGTACAGGAGCTGCCCATTGCTGCCGTAGCAGGATGCAGAACCTTCTCAGTCTGTCCCTTACTTTGCAGAAAGGCATTTTTAACAAAAAGAATCAACCAGTGCATGCAACATTTCACATGTGCTATTTTGGTTTTGTTAAATGAAAAGAAATCTAATAAAAGGGAGAGAAAACAATGCACTGCAGGAGAGGCAATTTTCATTGCAAATCAACTGTTTGGATCAGTCTGAAGGGATATTATGCGATAGGTGTTTTGCAACAGGCTATCATTCCGGCACTCTAATAGGGAGCATCCCTTACAATGCTGTCATTTAAACAACAGAGCTTTATATTTATCTGTCAAAAAGAGAAAGTATTAGTCTGCTGAGATCCTTGCAGCTTTTCGTTCTACTGTGTACACGGGATTGCATAAAACTACTGCCAAGAGGTGGCTGTGTGTGGTTCAATTATCATTTTCAAAAAATCTTCTGCCATGGTGTTTTATTATTGCAGAAATAAATTACAAACATGCTACTCTCTGGCCATCATGGAGAGGGAATACCACCTTGAAATCTGATGGCAACTGGGCTGTCAACACTAGTTCTGGTCATGGCAGCCTAACACCTCCCAACTTTTGTAAAGTGTTCGGTTTCAGAGAATCATAGAATCATAGAATGGTTTGGGTTGGAAGGGGCCTCAAAGATCACCTAGTTCCACCCCGCCTACCATGGGCAGGGAAACCCTCCACTACGCCAGGTTGCCCAAAGCCTCATCCAATCTGGCCTTGAACACTTCTAGGGATGGGGCATCTACAACTTCTCTGGGTAACCTCTTCAACTGCTCACAGTTTTTGTCTGAAGTATGCAGATGTCTTCCTGGGTGTCTTAGGAGGAAAGTGTCAATAAAATGTAAGCAGTTTTTTTTGAGAAAACTGCAGAAAGTATGCAAACCAGTTCATCAAAAACTTCTACTCTGTCTCCCATTTGGAGAAATAGCTTTAAGTTTGGCAGTGGGATGTGCCTTCTTCCTTTTGCCCTTGAAAACCAGCTCAGATCTGGGTAAATCAGGGGACTCTCAGAATTTTGGTTCACATAGGCACAGCTGCAGAATTGTTAGAGGCTGGCAGATACGTTTCCTGGGGACTTCAAGCAGGAGCTAGGTTAGGCTATCGGAGCAGCATAATCTTTTGTTAAGACTGCTGTTCCTCCGTCAGGCACCATGGTAACACTCAACATCAGCCACTTGTCTCATTTTTTTCGGTTTTGGCAGCAAACATGACAACATGCTCCCTTACTTCCTAACTGCATCATGCCCAAAGCCTGCTCCATTCTATGCACTGAATGAGGTTGAGATCTTGATAAAAAAAAAAAAAATCACAGGAACCTGTCATTCAAGACTCTGGGTCAATGCCCAATGTATTAATTCTGATCTGAGCGCAGGGCTAAGCCGGGGAAGGGAATACATTTCCCTGTACTTTGTCCTCCACAATGGCATTGCCAGATGTTATCACAGAGACCATAACATCTGCATCGCTCCACAATATAAAACTAGCCCTTAAGTGGAGATGCAAAACCTAATAGTAGACTTATCAAATTAAAAGTCTGCAGATTTTCAGGCTGGATTTGCATTCAGTTTACCTGCCTGCGGCAAGTCAGGATTAATAGCTATGGCTTCGCTGTGGTGGAGCAATTTAACCTATGCTTGTTGTAAACTACCCCAGGAAAAATGTAATGACAGCAGGTTCAGACCATCGAGCTCAGTTTAATTCAGCCATCTGACTGGTCAGGCGACAGGTCTGCGGGCTGACTTCTGTCACTTATCTTTCATCTGGCAATCTGCTGTCAAATGAGTGATCATTTGGGACCTGCTACTGTTACATACACACTCTTCTGCTACCATGGGTCTAATTTTATAGTTATTGTACGATAAAAATATTCTTTGTCTTCTTGACTCCCTTTTTGCCCTGAGGAGACTCAGAAAAAGCCAGTCTGATGGTAACCTGAAGTGTATGTGACAGCAGATAAGTGTCACAAGTACCTGAGAGTGCGATGTGTGGCTCTAGTTGGAGATGAGGGGTAAATTTCACACGTAGCTTCACAAAATTCAGTGCTACTCCTGTTACTATTTGGTTACTATCCCTAATGTTCATGGCAGGAGGAGATTCAGGGCTGACCAGCAAAAACGGTCCAGCACTGTGAGCAGATAGTGGACACACCATATGGAAAAAGTATTCCATCATTTTACTGCCAATATGATTTTTCTAGTTATGAGCAACATTTAATAGTAAGTTTCCATGAATTTTTATGAATATTCCCAGTTTAATTTCTTTCCGTTATCACTTAAATATTAAACAAAGGAAAGAATATTTGCATGATGTGGTATTTTAACTTCTGTTTTTACTTTGTGTAATTGCAGGACATGTCCATATCACCGACTTTAACATAGCAACCATAGTGAAAGGCTCAGAAAAAGCTTCTTCTATGGCTGGCACGAAACCCTATATGGGTAAGTTTTCAAGACCCTTAAAAAAATGTAAGAAAATACACACACTAATGTTGACTAAAGATATATTGAAAGGATTTTAAGTTGTGAAAGCCTACAATAAATGTGATCAACTTCTTTTTTTGAAAGTCTATATGTGTTAGCAATGGAAAACATTGGAGATGGAGGGATTGGGTAGGAGCTTGGTCTCCACACTGCTTCTAGTCAGGTTCTGGTTGGTTTTGTAAAGCAGATTCAGGAGAGTTTCAACTGTGTTACTCCCTGCAAACCCCCACATCTGGACACAAGAATATATTATTATATTTGCATCACTGTGGCTATGAACTAGCAGACAACATGTAATGTCAGTTTAAAAGTATCTAGGCAGATCCTTAATTGCTTTGCTATGCTGAGTTCCTCAAAAATGTGTCTGTTAGGATCCTATGTAACTATCCCTTAAGTGCCTGCTCTATGGCATTTAGGGGCATTTTATATGTTTTAATCACGTAATTTAAATGCACAGATAGATTGAAGTCTGGGAGAGTAAAATTCAGTTCACCTGTCCTCATGTGTTTGAAAGTTAAGCATCTTGGCTAAGTTAATAATTCAAACTTCCCTTGGTGTTGAAGGACAGAAGGCATCTCCTGAAAGTAATTTGTCCCACTAAAGTTAGGCGAGCTTCCATGACTAGAGAATAGGTGTGCTTTGTCCTATTTGTGGCTTCCTACACATCTGCTGTTTTAATTCTGCCTCTATAGGTAATTTTCATTGCTTGAGGAGGTGACTAGTTTAAGACTAAACATATTTGGGTTCTGGAAATCATACTGAGAGATATCGGTGTCTCCAAGACACTTTCTCTAGCAGACATGCTCAGAGCACATCTAACACCCGGGCAGTGGTAAAATATTTGTAAATGATTATATTCTGAAAATGTCACACAGAGAATCAAAGGCCACTGTGTTACCACACTTCTACACATTAGTATAAGAGCAAAAGCATTTGCCCAAGAAATAGGAATTAACACTTATGTCTTTCACAGCCCAAAGATCACGGTACCAACCTGCTCATGAAGCAGGCAGGTGTCTGCAGGATGCCTCCATACCAGCTGAGAGGCTGTGGCAGAGCAGTCCCAGGCACTGGAGCAGAGTAGTATTTTCAGATATGATGGGATTGCCATGAATCAACAGCTAGGAGGGGCTGAAGTCTGTTCTCCCTGAGCAACTTGGGCATAGCTGTCCTGTTTTGGCAGCTGATGGGATGCGATAGCATGCACATGGCCACACTGTGTCTCTTGGTCTCCTGACCAGTGCACTGACCTGATGCTGGTTAGCTTACTCTTATAAATGTAGCCAAAACAGACCAAGAAATGTTACGTAGTGCTGACTCAAGCATTTAAGTTATGCAGAGGAATGAGGTTTTAGATGAAAATTTTCTCAGCATTTCATATTGGTTAGCTCTAGGTCTGCTTAGATGAGATGGCTGACACTGCACAGGCATCAGATAAAGAACGTTAGGAGGCCAAGTCTGGGTACTGAGCTTGCCCTTGGGACCAGTATCTGAGTGTTTGATGTTGCACCACAGATTCCCTGTTCAGTGTGGTGAAAAGAGAGGAGAAGGGATGCTGCAACCTGACTTACATCAACAGCTTTAGTTTAAAGAGAACTTGCTTGAGCACTTTTGCCAAAATGTGTTGGTTTTATTTATGGAAAAAACACAAAACAACAAAAATTCAAGAAAAAAGCATTTTTTCTCTACAAGTATTTGTCTCTATAGATGAATAGCTGTACAACTGACATGTGAAGCTAATTACATTCACAGAAGTGCCCTTACATACATGGCAGCTGAAACGTTAGAGGATTTCAACATTTTTGATATGGTAGTTTTGCATTTCAGTGAAAAGCTTATGTCTCAGAGCTCATACATTCTGCTTAAACAGCTGCCTAGAATCTTCTAGTCACCATTGTCATTAGGTATGCAAATTCTTATTACACAGATTATTCACAAGTACCCTTAAAGAACAGTCATTTTGCAAGAGCTCCCTGCCCATGGCAGGGGGGTTGGAACTAGATGATCTTTAAGGTCCGTTCCAACTCTAACCATTCTATGATTCTATTATTCTATGATTCTATGAAATTCAGAATAGACATTTTCTATATTTAAATATGATGATGACAGCAGACATAACAATAGAATCGTTCCTGAGATTTAATTGGATAGTCAATTAAATGACTGTTTTGATGGCCTTAAATTTTTAATTTTGAAGTGGTTGCACAGTTTTACACTAGAAAGCATAATTATTATGAAAGCAGAAAAGAGCTGTGTACTTGCTTAGGGGTCAGTTAGCATTTTAGCATCTGTCTGTCACAGTCTGAATGTGTGTAATGAAGAGATCATCTGGCAGCTAATGATCAGAAGCAGATTAGTTAAAACAGCTGTACGAAAATACGTGTGAGCATTCTTCAACTATTTTGCTGAGAGTTAACAGGAAACTTAGCATCCTTTGGAGCATCTTTCAGCCCATGCAAACATGCAAACCTGCACACATGTAGGTGGACCACCACCTACTTAGTTGTTAGTGATCTCTCTTGGCAGGCTTTTCTCACAACAAAAAAACTAGCTTTTCACAGCCAAAAGCATAAAAATCTGTAGTAAGTTCTAAGCACCATGATTTGGTATTTTAAGGATAAAATTATGAAAAATGACCTTATCTTTTTGGAATTCCTACCCTCCACCCTCACTCCAAGGAGGAGGAATAACTTGTTCTTTTCCAGGAGATGGTGCAAACAAAGGAAATGCTGAGATTCATCTTAGAAAACCTGCCTGTTCGATGTGGAGATGTTCGAGTCCAGTCCATCCTGCCTAAACTCCACTTATGTCCCTTTCCATTGTATTCTCCATTTGCTAGGAAATTCTGGAGTCCTTGTAGTTAGTAGGAAAATACTCATCTCTGGGATAGATACGTCCCTATAGCCTTATTGTTTTGCAATCATTCATCAGCTTAACATCATGGCAAATAATTTCTCTGACCTAAGTTCGGAGTGCTGTAGGCAGCTGAGCCTTATTGTCTTCCCAGGAAGCTAAAGGAGCTCCTAGAGGGTCCAGTGAGAGCCCAAGCTGACGCAAGGAAGGAGGTAAACTATAGACCTGGGGTGGAGAGAAGATGGGAACAAGATTTTAACTTTATGCACTGGCGAACTGCTGTCTTGGTTCACCTCATCTCAAAAAGCTGTTCTGCCCCTGAACCCTCCTCCCCACACATGAGGTTCCCCCCACAGACAACAATGTCACAGCAAGAAAGAGAACAAGAGAAAACCTCTCGTTCCCTTTATGAAGAGACTACAGCACCATCCACCAGCTTATTTTCTTTCAAGCGTGCCTTCCTCACCTCTTGGAAATGCAAAAATACTGCAAAAGCCACAAGTGCAGTCTTTGCTACTCAGAAAGAGTCAAAAAAGTCATCCTTGCTTTTATTTGGAGCTGTAAGAAAGCAGGAAAGCTTTTAGAGCTGTAAAAATACCCTGTTTCAGGTGAAAAGTGATGGGTGAGTATTCTCTGTGGCACAGCTTGGGCATTAAAGCTTCAGCAAACCTCAAATATCAAGAATTTGATAGATATGGCCAGACACTCATCGGTGCTCCTTTTTCCTCTAAGAGCATTGATTTAACTTCCTTTCTTCTTTTAGTTTATGCCTTTAATTTCGTGAAGAATCATATCTTTAGTGAAATACTACAAAAACTTTTCAGTCGCAGGGGTCAAATTAAGAAAGGTTTGAGTTGACTCTTGATAGTTATTTAAGTCTGTATGATTTCTGGCTTTAAGGCTGTATAGGGCTGTATCACAGACTTTCCATGTGGCTTTGCCCAAGCCATTTAGACAATGAGAAAAACAGAAAAAAAATACTTGGGGATGTTGGGTCTATGATTGCTTGTAAGCTTTCATTACCAGGAATTTAAACTATGCTTTAACCTCATTGTAACAAGACAAAATCACCTTCAAGTAACTTGCTGACCACCAGAACCAAGGAAATTTAGTTGTCCCTGTAAGACATGCTTTACGCTATGCTGTTTTTCATGACAATGAAGGTATGAGATGTGATAAAAGCTTTTTCTCCCTCTTGGAAGTTTATAAAGGTTTGCTCCCATGTGGATCCTGTTATGTTTAATGAGATATGAGGACACTCTCCAGTCTTTCTCTTAGTAGAGATACTTATAGGATTTTTCACTTCTTCCTACGGCCAATTTAAAGAAAGAAACAGAAAAATGTTATCTCTGAAGCCTCCATTCCTATTTGAAATCTGATTGAAATAGGCTGAGAAATTGCTAGGGAGCGATGTGCTCACATGCAGCATGACTGCATAAAACTGATATCCAGGACAAAACACAGTGAATTAATATTGTGTCATAAAAATGCACTAGCTGTTCTGATTAAGATATCTATCTTGTAATGCTAAGCATGGTGTGAGTCAGCTCCTACAGCCTTTGCTTAATCCCACTTCACATTAGCCTTTTTGCCCCTAAGTCTTTCTCAGCCCAAAATTTTCCCTGTTTATTTCCCTACTCATTAAATGGCTATGCAGAATGCAATGTATCTGAACCAAAACGTTTCTCCAGAAACCGGTAATTTCTCCACGTTCCCCCTTCCCATCTGATTCATTCAGACAAGTGAAATACTTGCCACACACAGGCAACTAAAACATGGACAATGGTGAATCCAAAATGAAAGAGACCAACAGCCAGATGGGATGAGTTACCTCCAGCTACTTCTGCAATTTTACTTCTCATAGTCATTGACCTGAAATGCTGAAGTGAAATCAAGCTCTTAGTGTTCAGGGATCTTCAGAGTTTCTGTCTCGTACTGTTCAGACAGCTGCAGCTGTGAAATACAACGTGTACCTTAAGCTGGTTTAGGAAATTTGTGTGTGTCATCTGTGCATGATTTTATCGTTACAAACTCACTGCTCAAACCTTTTACAACATCTGTGATTGAGAGTGTTGTCAAAGGTTTTATTGTATGAACAATTCACC